AACAGTGTGTAATCCAGTAGTAGAGCACTTACCTAGCATGAGCAAGGTCTTAGGTTTGTTCCCCCACATCACAAAAACCAACAAGCAAAATCTTCATTTTTAACAAGATCCTCAAGTGGTTTGAATGCATGTTAAAAATTAAGCAACCTGTTAGTTATGGTAGCAAACATCTTTAACCGAAGCTATTGGGAGACAGACCAGAAGATCCTAAGTTCAAGGCCAGCCTAGACAACATAGTGAGCCACTCCCCCAACACACACACCCCATCTCAAAAAAAGAAGAGGGCTGGGAAGGTGGCTCAGTGGTAGAACGCTTGCCTTGCGTGCCTGAGGCCCTGGGTTCCATTCCTCAGCATTACATAAGCAAAAAGAAAAAAGCCGGAAGTGGTGCTGTGGCTCAAGTGGTAGACCTCTAGCCTTGAGCTGAAGAGCTGAGGGACAGCGCCCAGGCCCAAAGTTCAGGCCCACGGCCGGACCCAAAAAAAAAAAAAAAAGAAGAAAAAAAAAAATGAAGTAAGCTGATCTAAAAAAAAGGAGTGGCTCCTGTGGAAAACAGGTGGAAAAAGTGGAGGGTTTTACAAGCCAAGACCTCATGGGTAAAACCTCAGAGGTGAGAAACAGGTGTGTTTGAAGGTGGGCATGGGACAGATGTAGAGGAGTTAGGAATGAAACTGGAATGATGAGGTCCAATGGTGAAGAGCTTTGAATGCCAGGCTGAAGAGCTGAGAATTCATCATAGGGAAATAAAACCACTCCAAAATTCAAGCCAAGGAGAGAGGTGTGAATGTACACAAATTTTTCCTCTTAGAAAACCTTTTTCTGACCTGGGTACCAGTGGCTCATGCCTATAATCCTAGCTACTCAGGAAGCTGAGATCTGAGGATCATGGTTCAAAGCCAGACTGGGCAGAAAAATCTTCATGAGACTCTTAACTCCAATTAACCCCTCAAAAACTGGAAGTGGAGGCTGGGAAGGTGGCTCAGTGGTAGAGTGCTTGCCTTGCATGCATGAGGCCCTGAGTTCAATTCCTCAGCAGCACATAAGCAGAAAAAGCCAGAAGTAGCACTGTGACTTAAGTGGTAGAGCGCTAACCTTGAGCTGAAGTGGAGCTGTGGCTCAAAGTGGTAGAACACTAGCCTTGAGCAAAAGAGCTCAGGTACAACACTGAGGCCCTGAGTTCAAGCCCACAACCAACAAAATCAAAACACCTTTCTACTCCTTAAAGATAGATTGGAGGGGCTGGGAAGGTGGCTCAGTGGTAGAGCGCTTGCCTTGCATGCCTGAGGCCCTGGGTTCAATTCCTCAGCACCACATAAGAAAAAAGCCAGAAGTGGCGCTGTGGCTCAAGTGGTAGAGCGCTAGCCTTGAGCTGAAGAGCTGAGGGACAGCGCCCAGGCCCAGAGTTCAGGCCCCACAACCAGACCAAAAAAAAAGATAGATTGGAGTTTGAGGCACAGCAAATACTCCAGCCACTATATGCAGTGTAATTAAAGTTTAGCTAACAATCACAGAATTCAGCACAGGAAGGCACATTTGTTTGTTTATTGACAGGTTCTCACTACATAGTCTAGGCTGGTATGCCAGTCTCCCAAATGCTGAGATTACACTTTCCTGCCTGAGAGGTGTAATCTCAAATGCTGAGATTACAGGTGTGTACCTTCAAACTCAGCTGGCAGGCAATTTTGAGGTCACTGTGTGTGTGTGTGTGTGTGTGTGTGTCCTGTGGTCTGAGGTCACTTTGTGTGTGTGTGTGTGTGTGTGTGTGTGTCCTGTGGTCTGAGGTCACTTTGTGTGTGTGTGTCCTGTGGTCTGAACTTAGGGCCTTGTGGGTGCTGTCCCTGAGCTTCTTTTGTTAAGGCTAGCACTCTATCACTTGAGCCACAGCACCATTTTCAGCTTTTTCTTTTTGTTGTTGTTGAGGTTTTTGTTTGTCAGTCGTGGGGCTTGAACTCAGCCTGAGAGCTGTCCCTGAGCTCTTCAGCTCATGGCAAGTGCTCTACCACTTGAGCCACAGCGCCACTTCTGGTTTTCTGTGGTTTATTGGAGATAAGAGTCTCACCAGCTTTCCTGCATGGGCTGGTTTTGAACTGCATACTCAGATCTCAGCCTCCTGAGTAGCTAGGATTATAAGCGTGAGCCACGGGTGCCCAGCTATTTCCAGATTTTTCTAAGTAGCTTATTGGAGATAAGAGTCTCATGGATTTTCCTGCCCAGGCTGGCTTTGAACCATGATCCTCACATTTCAGCCTTCTCAATAGCTAGGATTACAGGTATGAGCCTGGCTTGAGATCACTTGTTTTTACAGAGAGAAATGAGGTTCTGGGAGCCCCATATCCAATTATTGAGCCATCTGCTAAATGTTTGCAATCCTCCATTCTACTTTCTCCTAATCCACTTCTCCAGATGTCATTTCTCAGACTGGCATTTAATGATCTTATACCATTATCTCATTTTACAGATGGGGAAGCTGAGGCAAAGGTGGTACAAGGTAGAGGTAGGATTTGGTGGCTACAGGATACATGATGAAGTCTGGCCAGACATATTGTCTTAGCTTTTTTTTTTTTTTTTGGTCGGTCGTGAGGCTTGAACTCTGGGCCTGGACGCTGTCCCTCAGCTCTTCAGCTCAAGGCTAGTGCTCTACCACTTGAGCTACAGCGCCACTTCCGGTTTTCTGGTGGCTTACTGGAAATAGGAGTCTCACGGTCTCTCCTGCCCGGGCTGGCTTTGAACCGCGATCCTCAGATCTTAGCCTCCTGACTAGCTAGGATTACAGGCGTGAGCCACCAGCGCCCGGCTTTGTCTTAGCTTTTATGCCAAACTGTCCTTCTGCTCCTCAGTGTCAGCCTGTCTAGTTGGGGTTCCCAAATATCCCCTTCTCTCCTTCACTTTTTTTTGTGAGTTGTAGGGCTTGGACTCTGGGCCTGGGCGCTGTCTCTCAGATCTTCAGCTCCAGGCTAGTGCTCTACCACTTTAGCCACAGCGCCACTTCTGGCTTTTTCTGTTTATGTGGTGCTGAGGAATTGAACCCAGGGCCTCATGCATGCAATAGGCAAGCACTCTACCACTGAGCCACCTTCCCAGCCCTCACTTCAGCTTTTGAGCAGGCCACCAACCTTACACTGATGTCCTCCTAGCAACCAGTGAATCTTCTCAACAAACACTCCAACCATGTCCCTCCCCTGATTTAAGACTTCCCATAGGACTACAAGCCATACCCAGTCCATCCTCCTTGCTCCTCTGGCTTACTTCAAGGCCTTTTGTGCTCTGGACCCAAGATGAGTGCACCTGCTCCAGACCTTTACTATTAGAATATCCTCCTCCTGGAGTGACTTCCCTCTCTCCTCATCATCTGTCAGCCCTCCTAAGCCTGTGTTGGGCCCATGTCAGCACACTATTGCTTCCCCACTGACTGGAGTGTGTGTAGACATCCAAATAGGCTTCTTTGTTCATCTCCAGATCTCAGGGTTCAGCCTCAAATAAATATGGATTTTTCTGGGCCCAGTGGCTCATATCTATAATCCTAGCTACTCAGGAGGCTGAGATCTGAGGATATGGGTTCAAAGCAGAAAAGTCCATGAGACTCTTATCTCCAGTAAACCAGAAAAAAGCCAGGTTGGAGCTGTGCCTCAAGTTGCAGAATGCTAGACTTGAGGGAAAAAGCTAAGGGACAGTGCAAAAGTCCTAAACTCAAGTCCCAGTACTGTCAGGGGGGGAAAAAAGGAAGGAGGGGAGAGGAGGCTAGAAAAATATCTAGAGGATGACAGCCCAAGGCCCTTAAGTTTAGGAATAATATTAATAATAATGACTGTTTACATAATGCTTCTGTGCCAGACACAGTTCTAACTTTTTGTTTGTTTGTTTTTTTGGGGGGGTCAGTCCTTGGGCTTGAACTCAGGGCCTGGGCGCCTGTCCCTGAGCTCTGAGATGGAGCTGATAGCCCACCCTAAGCTCTAGAGCCTGTAAACTTAGAATATCTGTCTAAGTCAAAGGAGATCAGAAGGCCCATTGGGGCAGAAGAGGCATGCTGGGAGAAACTAATGGGCCAAGTCCGGGGAGGAAGGGGAGATGGGAGCAGAGCTACTTAGCCATTTAGACTAAACAGACCTAAGCAGCCAGCCCTCTTCCTTTTAGGACTCAACATGGCCATTAGGGGGCAGCAAACGTTTCTTAGGAACTGGGCCTTAAAACCTCCAGAGCAAGAGCCCCCTCCAGCCGAGTAAGAGCTACTCAGACTAGGGGTAGCCAGAATCTCATGCAGCTCTGGGAAGTAGAAACCTACTTGGTGGCAATTAAGGTCATAAATGGGGAACTCCAACTCATTATGATATGATATCCTGAAAACCTTCAGCTACCCTCAGGACAGAATCCAGATTCCCTGTGAGCCTCCCAACCAAACCCTTACCATTCAACGGCCTGAGCCAGCCACTTGCCCTTCCAATTCCACCAGGTCCTTTGCCTGTGGCTGGTCCACTTCATCCCTCAGATTCCTACTGACCTCAGATACCAACTTTGAGACCCTAGGTCAGTGACCAAATTATCCTGGGCCTCAGTTTCCTCACTTGTAAAATGGAATGAACACTACCTACATCATAGAATAGAGGGTTTATAATTGTCTGGCACACAGGAAACTATGCAAGAGTTACGTACTGTTACTGTGGCCTAGCCTGACCTCCCCCACTCCGAAGTCTGAACTAAGTCATCTCTGGGTTTTACCGCCTCCATGTTCCTGCACCCATCACACAGACTTGTGATTGTCTGTTTGACACCCAGCTCTATGGAGAGCAAAGGGGAAGTGCTTTGTCCCAAGCACCCAGCACAGAGTCTGGCACACAGCAGGCCAGACATCTGTGTGAGGGAAGCTAGAATGAAGGGCAGAATGAGTAAACCTTTAGATTCTAGGTGGGAGATGAGAGCCAGATCCCGGGCTTCCATCTGAGGAAAGCTGAGCGTAGACCTCAGGATTGTGGGTGGCGGGCCCCAGGGTGTTTATGTGATGCTTACCTCCTTGTTGTCCACAGGGATCTTGAGTTTCACCACCTCATACTTCTCCTCACCTTCCTCCTCCTCACCCTTCACCAGCAGCACCATCTCCTCTTGCATTTCTTCCTCCTCCTCCTCCTCTGCCTGCTGTTCTCCAGGCATCTTGGTGATCTGAGGCATGGAGCTGGATCAGAAGCTCAGGACCCGGCCCCTCCCCCCTGCCCCTTCCCATGGCCCTGACCCAGACTAGGCGGTGCAGCGGCGGCTTCTCCAGCCCTGGCCTGGCCTCCGAGTCTGGCCCTCTCTCATCCACCCAAGCCCCATGCTCCGTCGCAGCCCAGGGGCCAGCCTAGGACATATCCATTCACCCCCACTCATCCCGGCATTCAAGGCCCTGAACAGTTCGAATCCCCAGCCCTCGCTAGTCGCTACCCTCCCCGCGCTGAGTCACTCCCCGGAGCCTGGGTCAGCGACCTGGAGCGAGCCCTGCGGGACGGGCTGGAGGCAGGATGGGGCGGCGACCCAGGGGAGGACTGCGCACTCACCAGCCCAAGGTTCGGCGCTCGCGCTGCCCCAGGCCTGGGCGCGGGGCGGTTCGCTACTCCGTGAGGCCGCGGCTCCGGGGACGGGGCGGGGGCGGGGCCGCGGAGGCGACCGCTCATTGGTCCGATGGCATGGCCACGCCCCTAGGGGAGGAGCCCAGATGACCCAGACATTAGGCCCTATCCGCCTGGGGAGGCCCAGAGCCCAGCCCCTGCGCTTACCGAGAGACCCTCTACACCCTAACTCTTAAGGATCGGAAAGCTTCCCTTGCCCAGCTTTCGAGGTGCCCGCAGCCGCGGTCGAGTCAGCTGCGAGGTCTACTCCGCGGCCAAGCTCGTCTGCTCCGCCCGAAATAGGCCACGTGCGCTCCCGCCCCGGCTAGGGCCTCTCGCTGGCGCCCCGCCTGGAGGGCGGACCCTGTTGCCTCCTCACCTTTTACCTCGTCCATACCTTTTCCCCCCCTCCTGTTTCTTGCTTCCTTTCGTACTCTGCCCGATCTTCCGGCCTCTAGGATGTCTTCTTGCTTCTTTGAATTTATACCGCCCAAATCAACAGAAGCCCAAGCTCTTCTTGTTGTTTATTGTGTGGTAAACTTACTTTGCGCCGGTTAGGCCCAGCATTTACACACTTGGTCTCATTTGATGTGCACCACGGGGAGATGGCCCATTTTACAGATGAGCTAAATGAAGTTCAGGGAAGTAAACTCATTTGCCTAAGTTGTGACTTGTACCCTAGCTAGAAAATTAGCCCAAACCCAGACCACCAAAGTTTGGCCCTCAGAATAATGTGGGGGGGGGGGGGGGCCTGAGATCTGAGATTCAAAGCCAACCTAGGACAGGAATATCTGAGATACTTTTATCTCCAATTAGTCAACAAAAAAGCTGGAAGTGGGGCTGTAGCACAAGTAGTAGAGCTCAGTCTTGAGTGAAAAAACTAAAGGACAGTGTCCAGGCCCTGGACACTGGTCGTGGGGCCTAAACTCTGGGCCTGGGCGCTGTCCCTCAGCTCTTCAGCTCAAGGCTAGCGCCCTACCACTTGAGCCACAGCACCACTTCTGGCTTTTTTAAATTTTTGCTTACATGGTGCTGGGGAATTGAACCCAGGGCCTCATACATGCAAAGCAAGCACTCTACCACTGAGCCACCTTCCCAGCCCAAAACTGGAGAAATCTTTTAAATATACACATAGTTTCAAAACAGTGGATAAATCTTTTATAAACTGTAACATTTAGAAATTGGGGTATGGGGCCTGGGAATGTGGCTTAGTTGTAAAGTGCTTGCTTAGCATGCATGACACCCTGGGTTTGATTCCTCAGTACCATATACACAGAAAAAGCCAGAAGTGGCTCTGTGGCTCAAGTGGTAGAGCAAAAGAAATTCAGGGACAATGCCCAGGCCCTGAGTTTAAGCCCCACGACAGGGAGGAAGGGAGGAAGGAAGGAAGGGAGGAAGAAAGGAAGGGAGGAAGAAAGGAAGGGAGGAAGAAAGGAAGGAAGGAAGAAAGGAAGGGAGGAAGAAAGGAAGGAAGGAAGGAAAATGGTGTATGGAGCTGGGTGCTGGCCGCTCACTCCTGTCATCCTAGCTATTCAGGAGTCTGAGATTTGAGGATCACAGTTTGAAGCCAGCTTGGGCAGGAAAGTCTGTGAGACCCTTATCTTGAATTAACCTCCAAAAATTGGGAAATTCAGCTGTAGCTCAAGTGATAGAACACTAGCCTTGAGCAAAAAAGCTCAGGGCCAGTGCCCAAGTCCTGAGTTCTGGCCCCAGGACTGAAAAGAAAAAGAAATTGGGATATGGAGCTATGGATATAGCTCACTGGAAGAGCACTTGCCTAGCCATTCAATGGGGGGAGGAGAGGAGAAAAGAGAAAAATTGGGTTATTATATATAGAAATCTGTTCTCAATTCTCTTGAACAAGCTGATGCTTATTTCCCCATTTTATGAATGGGGCAACCAAGATATTGAGAAAGGACAAATAAATGAGAAAAAATACATTGTCTACAATCTGTATATTGTCTCTTTACAATAGCCCTTTGGGAATCAATATCTCCATTTGACAAATGAGACCATTCAACCTTGTAGACATAAAGTAATTTGCTCAAAGTCTCACAGCTGGTAAGAAGTGGATTCTAAGCTCCTGTTCTTCTATTGCATAAAATGCTCTCTTGGGAACAAAGTTACACAGGAAACCAGTGACAGAGCGAGGACTCAAATCTGAGTCTCTGTCTGCAGAATCCAAGGCATAATTTGTTTGGTTGGATTACATCTGCTTAAATTTTATCACTGGCTCAGCATTGAGAAAAGGACAAATGACTAGATATTTACACACAAGATCCCCCAAAACCATTTTGATTGTGTTTCTTCTCTAATCCCACTATGTGCCAGATACCATTCTAGGTATTGGGGGTGTCACAGGGAACAACAATAACAACAAATCTTGGCATCTGTGATACTTCTAAGAACAGGAAAAATGTAAACAAGTGGCTGGAATATAACAGGTAACAATGAAGCCCTAGCTTGTGTTCCATCCCAAGCACTGAAAAAAAAAAAAAGTAAGCAAATAAACAGAATAATTTAATAAGGAAACCAGAAGCCAGTAGCTTACCCCTGTAATCCTAGCTACTCAGGAGGCTGTAATCTAAAGATTGAGGTTCAAAGCCAGCCCCAGGCAGGAAAGTCTATGAGGCTCTGATCTTCTCAACTAAACTACCAAAAAAAAAAAAAGAAAAGCTGGAAGTGGAGTTGTGGCTCAAGCTAAATGACAGCACCCAGACCTGAATTCAAGGCCCAGAATTGGCACACATCAACACAAAAAAATCAATATACTGATCTGGGAGTGTAGCACAGTAGTAGAACATGTGCTTAACATAAGCAAGAACCTGGCTTCTATCCTTAGCAGCACAAAAGTTTCCTTTTTCTTTTTCTTTTTTTAAAGGCATTATGAATCACTTATGTACATACAAAAAAGGACACTGGGTGACCTGGCAGAACACGAAGCCATTGAACAACTCCTTGAAAGGAGCAGGCACTGGTACCTCCCTAAACGAGTGAAGGACCTTGGAAAGCAAGCCAGAGGGAGTTTGTCAGATTGGTAAGGAAATTATGGGATTGTAAACTCTTGTAGAGTCTCACAGACTTTCCTGTCCCAGCTGGCTTCAAACTGTGATCCTCAGATCTCAGCCTCCTGAGGAGCTAGGATTACAGTCCGTGAGCCACTGGTGCCCGGCTGTGTTATTTTCAAGATAGGGTCTTGCTCTATGCCTGAACAATCTGGACCATGATCCTCCTACTTGTGCTTCTCTGTGCCACTGGGGATAACAGGCATAGGCCACCCATTGGTTGAAATGAAGAGCACACTTTTATCAGACTGGTTTTAAAGGTTGATCCTAGGATGATGCATACTTTCTTCTTTTTCTTTTTTTTTCTTAGTCATGGGGCTTGAACTCAGGGCCTGGATGCTGTGTCTCAGCTTCTGCCCTCACGTCTAGTGCGCTACCACTTTGAGCCACAGTGCCACTTCTGGTGTTTAATTGGAGGTGAGTCTCACAGACTCTCCTGCCCAGGCTGGCTGTGAACCTGGATCCTCAGATCTCAGTCTCCTGAGTAGCTAGGATTACAGGTGTGAGCCACTAGTACCTGGTTTGGTTCCACCTAAAACACCATCTCCCATGCTTTATCTCTTTTTTATTTTGTTTGGTGCACATATTGAGGCTTGAACCCATAGCCCTAGTTTTCTCGCTGGGTTTGCTTGGTCATAGCTGGCACTCTACCTCATGAGCTATGCCTCCAATCTGTCATTTTATTGGTTAATTAAGAGACAGTCTTGTGGATTTTTTTTCCCTGCCAGGGCTGGCTTCAAACCAACAGGAGGTATCAGTCTCCTGAGTAGCTTGAATTACAAGGAGTGCTAGAAATTCTATTTTTGAAGGGTCAGGAGGGTAGGATTGCTCTGTTCTCTAAAATAGCCCCAAACTCCTGTATTCAATGGATCTTACTGCCTCTGCCTCCCAAGTAGCTTGCACTACATGTATATACCGCTAGCCTGACTTCTTGGAAACTGCCTCAGAAACTGTGTGCTTGGTATCAAGCCCATGGTACACGCTGAGTCAAAGATGGGTCTGAATGACATAGCCAGACCCTTTCTTAGAAAAATAAAATAAAAACAGGGCTGGAGGTGTGGCTTAAGTAATAGAGGGCCTAGCAATCCTGAAGTCCTGAATTCAAACCCTAGTATGTTAAGAGAGGAGAGAGAGAGAGAGGGAGAGAGGGAGAGAGAGAGAGAGAGATAGAGAACAAGGAAAAAAGGAAGAGGCTAGCAAGCAGGCATATAGCTAAAAGTATACAAGTGGTAAGCTAAGGAGTTAGGCTTATCAGAGAGGGAGCAGGGAAAGGGAGAGACAGTAAGCATTTATATGCCTAAGCAGTATGGCCATATGTAATTTTACAGCGTTCACCAAGGTCAACTTGGAAGCAAGTCAGGAAAACAGCCAGAACCATCTTCTCAAAAACCCCCTAAGGGCCCCATTCAGACTAGCTCTGCCTGTGCAGTTACAGGCAAAAGTTCAAGACAACCAGTCTTGAGCACAAAGTTCCAGTCTCCAAGGGGTACACAACTTAACAGGGGTGGGCAGATGGGGAGGAAAGGCACTGTAGCAAGCTTTGATTTGTTTCTAGGGAAGCCAGTGGGAGGCTGCGATCTCTGGGGAATTTCTATTCAGGACTACTCCCCCAGGACCATTAGCCTGGGACAAGCAAAATTGCAAGCTATCAAGTACTTTAGCATTGCTTCAGCTGGCCAGATGTGCCCTGGTGTTTTTGTTCCTGGCCTATGAGGTCAATTATTCTTGCCCTTCCCCCTTCCCTCTCCGAGGGCCCTGGCACAGGGAACTGTGGTTACTTTCTGCAAGGGATGACATTCTTTTTGCCTCTCTTTGGGCTGTGCAATCTGGTTGTTTTCTGCTACAGAAAAAAGAGCCTAAGGGAGGTGGGTTTCTCTGCATCCTTGTCTTGAGTGTCTGGACCTAAAGGACTGGAAACATTCCAGCCAGCTCCAGCAAGTTTTCCCTCCCTTTGCTGAGACACACAATTATCCTTTTAAGGGTAGTGCTTGATCCAGGCTTTGGCCTATGATAGCCAATCCTTAACCTGGGTCAGCAGTTGGTAGACTTGGTATTTGTGTGTCAGTATTGGGGTTTGAACTCAGGGCCTGTGTACTATCCCTTAATTTTTTCATTCAAGGCTGGCACTGTACCACTTGAGCCACAATTTCAATTCTGGTTTTTTGAAAGCTAATTGGAGATAAAAAGGTCTCACAAATGTTTTGCCTGAGCTGGCTTCAAACCAAACCTCCATCCTCAGATCTCAGCCTCCTGAGAAGCTAGGATTACAGGCATGAGCCACTGACACCTAGCTCTGGCAGCCTTTATAGACCAGATACTGGAGTTCCAAAGTGGCTGACTATGCCAAGACAGCCTCTAAAGGACACAGAGAGCAAGGGATCCACATCTCCTTAAGGGCTTTGCCTGTGGTAGTACATTTACACCATTTTAATTGTCACAGGACAGCATGTTAAGAACATATACACACATCACACACACACACCTACAACAGAGTCCGAGCCTCAGGCAAGGAAGTTTATTAGGAGACACATGGAAATGTGGCTGTCTGGCCTTGGAGTTTTTCTGGCATCTCCTGACCTCAGTCCCAGTGAAGTCCCCAACCCAGCCTGCTGACCTCTGGGTATGGCATGGCACCCAAACTGGATGCCACTAATGGCCTAGCTCTCTGTCTGTCTATTCCTCTACAGTCCAGTTGTCATGGCAGTCTAGGGCACATAGATCCGAGCTGCATCCAAATCTGCCCCTTTCTGGCTAAGATTGTGTTTGGTAGCCCCAATTAGAGGTGAGGACCACTTACCACACAGTTAACTTTCCCCATGAAGGTGATCAGAATGCTCCACCTCATTCTTTTTTTTGGGGTGCCAGTCCTGGGCCTTCAACTTAAGGCCTGGGTGCTATTTTTAAACTCTTTTTTGCTCAAGGGCTTAGTGCTCTACTAAAGACATAGCTCTATTTCTGGCTTTTGGCGATTAATTGGAGATAAGAGTCTCACAGACTTTCCTGCCCCGGCTGGCTTTGAACCTTGATCTTCAGATCAAGGTTTAAGTCTCTTGAGTAGCTAGGATTATAGGTATAGGTGTGAGCCACTGCACCCGGCTTTTATCTCATTCTTAATTCCTAGCCTTCATTTCCAGAAGTCTCATTGCTATCACTCAGAAAGCACAGGGCAAGGCTGAGAAAAGTAAATTCTGAACAGACAAGAAGCAGCCAAACTTTAGGATTTCTTTCTTTTTTTTTTTTTTTTGTCGGTTGTGGGGCCTGAACTCTGGGCCTGGGCGCTGTCCCTCAGCTCTTCAGCTCAAGGCTAGCGCTCTACCACTTGAGCCACAGTGCCACTTCCGGCTGTTTTCTGCTTATGTGGTGCTGAGGAATCGAACCCAGGGCCTCATGCATGCAAGGCAAGCACTCTGCCACTGAGCCACCTTCCCAGCCCTTTCTTCTTTTTTTTTTTTTCTTGGAGGTACTAGTGTTTGAAATCAGAACTTCCTTTTCACTAGGCAGGATCACACTGCTTGAGCCATATTCCAGCCCTTTTTGTTTTATTTTTGAAATAAGACTCTCCTGGGGTTGACCTGGACTTTCATCTTCCTATTTATGCTGTGATGACAAGCACCCACCATCATACCCAGCTATAGGTTGAGATGGAGTCTCCAGAACTTTCCACTCCCACTTGCTGCAATCACTGGTGTAAACCACTAGTTCCTTGCAAACTTAGGGTTAGGAGTCTATAGATCTTAATCCATTTCTAAATTTCCCAAGTATTTAATGAGCGCCTGTATGTGAGGCGAGATTCTAGAATCGGGGAGTACAGGCCATACTGGCAAGGTCCTAACACCTTGCCAGGACAATTTCCTGAGTATCAAAACACAATTATGGTCTCCGATCTCTATTTCTACCTACCCACTCCTTTCTCCCACTGCTCCCTCCCACCACCTCCCATGCCCTTCTCTTCTGCTTCAGCAGCAGATTCCCCTCCCTTTGGTTTGCTGGCTCTCCACCCTCTCCTGGACCCCATCATTCCAGTCCTGTTGGTGATTCTTCCTTGAGAGGCCTTGTCTGAACATCCACTATGCCAAAGGGTCTCAAGGCCAGGTGCCCCCGCTGGTGCTTGATGCGAGCCGAGCTGTCACCAAAACCTTTGCCACACTCTGCACACTTGTATGGCTTCTCTCCAGTGTGGGTGCGCCTGTGTTTGACGAGATCTGAGCTTCGGGGGAATTCTTTCCCACAGAAGCCACACACATGGGGCTGGCTGGGTCCAGAGGGTTGGGCCCGAACTCGGGGTCGTGGAGTCGTGGGTGCTGGGCCAGGTGGGTTATGGGGCCGCAGGAGAGTAGATGGTGGTGGTGGTGGCCGGGCACGTTCACCACGATGGGTGCGGAGGTGCTTAACTCGGGCTGAGCTATCAGCAAAACCTTTGCCACATTCAGGACAGAGGTAAGGTTTCTCTCCTGTGTGCACACGATGGTGTTTTACCAGGTCAGAGCTTCGGCGGAAGCCCTTGCCACACTCAGGACATTTGTGGGGCTTGTCACCTGCCAGTGGTGGGGGTGGCTCCCCAGCCTGGGGGCCTCCGGGCTCTGGCTCGAAGCCAGGCAAGCCAAAAGGCCCATCACCCGAGTGCGAAGGGCTTCTGGGTGTCAGGGAGGGGCTGGTGCCAAGAGGTGGTGGAGGTGGGCTGGAGATCAACGGGGCTACAGGGTAGCCTGCAAAACCGAAGTCTTGGGGTTCCATGTGTGTCAGACGATGGCGAAGCAGGGTAGAGCTGAGGCTGAAGGTTCGGTCACATTCCGGGCAGGCGTGGGGTCTCTCGCCACTATGGGTACGGAGATGCTTAACCCGGGCTGAACTGTCAGCAAAGCCCTTGCCACACTCAGGGCACAGGTAAGGCTTCTCACCTGTGTGCACCCGCAGGTGCTTTACTAGGTCGGAGCCTCGAGCAAATTCCTTCCCACACACATCACAGCCAAAAGGCTTGGGTCCCAGGTGACTGCGCTGGTGGCTCAGGAGGCTGCAGCTGAGTATAAACCTCTTGCCACAATCAGTGCAGGTATAAGGCTTGTCCTGTGCCTTGGGTCCCTGGGCAGCAGTGGGGGTGGCCCGGGATGGCTGTTGTCGAGGTACCACCGGCCTGGGGGGCTGCTCCCCTCGGTGTGTCCGCTGGTGCTTTATGCGGGCAGAACTATCGCCGAAGCCCTTCCCACAGATGCCACACTTGTAAGGTTTCTCACCCGTGTGTGTCCGCTGGTGCTTCACCAGATCAGAACTCTGCCGGAAGCTCTTGCCACATTCCCCACAAATAGTGGGGCGCTCACCAGCCGGGATCCGGGGTCGAGGGATCTTTGGGGGACCCTGGGTCTGTGGCCGAGCCCTGTAGGGCTTCTCACCACTGTGAGTTCGCTGGTGTTTGATGCGAGCTGAGCTATCGCCAAAGCCCTTGCCACACACCCCACATTTGTAGGGCTTCTCCCCGGTGTGGGTCCGCTGGTGTTTCACCAGGTCCGACATCTGCCGAAAGCTCTTGCCACACTCGCCACACACTGCTGTCCGATCACCACTCCCCTGGCCCCAGCGTGGTTCTCCCAAGACTCGGGGAGCTCTGTCCCGAGGCTGAGGCTTCCCTAACCCCTCTTTGTGGACCCATAAGTCATCCCAGGTCTGGATACCTTCAGGTTTTAGAGACACAGTTCCGACCTCATGAGCTGGGGCCAAATCTTCCTCTTCTTTGAATCCCAAGTCATCTTCTTCCTGTAGTTCAAACTCATCAGGCTGAGAAACCTCCACATTCTCACTCCCTAAAGCTGGGAAAGAAAGGAGTTGCACACCTCAGCACTTGATCATTGAGCTGTATACTCGGAGCCCACCAGATCTTATCTTTGATATCAACCTCCATAAAAAGGCTCTTTTGTGTGTGTGTGTGTGTGTGTGTGTACAGATCCTGGGCCTTGAACTCAAGGCACTGTCTAAGCTTTTGTGCTCAAAGCTAACATTCTACCACTTGAGCCACAGCTCCACTTTTGGCTTTTTGGGTGTTTAAATGAAGATAAAAATCTCATGGTCTTTCTTGCTTGGGCTGGCTTTGAACCTTGGTCCTCAGATCTCAGTTTTTTGTTGTTTTTTTTTGGGGGGGTCCGGTCCTGGGGCCTGAACTCTGGGCCTGGGCGCTGTCCCTCAGCTCTTTAGCTCAAGGCTAGCGCTCTACCACTTGAGCCATATCACCACTTCCAGCTTTTTTCTTCTTGCTTATGTGGTGCTGAGGAATCGAACCCAGGGCCTCATGCATGCAAGGCAAGCACTCTACCACTGAGCCACCTTCCCAGCCCAGATCTCAGTTTCTTGAGTAGCTAGGATTACAAGTGTAAGCCACTGGTGCCTGGTTATAAGACTTCTTTTGACAATGGCTTTGTCTCAAGGATTTCTCCTCTAAGCTTGTCAAGCACTTATTATCTATGCATTTCAGTAATAATGGTGATACCTATTTACCATATCCTTAATATATGCCAATCTCGCAGAACTAAGAAAAGGCCTAGAGCATGGCTCCAGTGTAGCCATCTTTTTTTCCTTCTTGTGCTGGGACTGGAACTCAAGGCCTGGATGCTGTTTTTGAGCTTTTTCACTGGAGTTCTACCACTTGAGCCACCTCTACTTCCTGCTTTTGGGTGGTTAATCAGGTATAAGAGTCTTAATGGACTTCCCTATCCAGCTGACTTTGATCCTCAATCCTCAGATCTCAGACCAGTGAACAGCTAGGATTATAGGGGTGAGCCACCAGTGCCCGGCCTGCCTAGCAATCTTAAAAGCCCTGAGTTCACACTCCAAAAATAAATATGTATCAATCACTAAGTTATGTGGAACCCCCAAAATCCTAAGATCGTATTACCATTGTAATTACTCTTATAGGCCAGACTCCGGTGCCTCACTCCTGTGGCTCATGCCTGTAATCCTAGCTACTCAGGAGGCTGAGATCTGAGGACTTCAGTTCAAAGCCAGCCCAGGCAGGAAAGTCCCTGAGACTCTTATCTCCAATAAACCACTAGAAAACCGGAGGTGGTGCTGTGGCTCAAGCAGTAGAACGCTCGCCTAGAGTTGAAGAGTGCAGGGACAGCACCCAAGCCCAGAGTTCAAGCCCCATGACCAACAACAACAACAACAACAAAAATTACTCTTATAATCATAGAGATGCTGAGAACTTAGGATTTTCTGTAGTTTGTTTGTATTTTGTGCTGGTCTTGGAGCTTAAACTTAGGGCCTGGGTGCTGTCCCTGAGCTTTTTTGCTTAAAGCTAGCACTCTACCACTTAAGCCACAGCTCCACTTCTACCTTTTTGGTGGTAAACTAGGAGAAGAGAGTCTCATAGATTTTACTGCTCTGGCTGGCTTCAAACCTCAATCCTCAGATCTCAGCCTCCTGTGGAGCTAGGATTACAGGCTTGAGCGCACCAGTGTCCCACTCAAAGCCAGATTTTTTAATTTAAGTCTGACACCCAAGCCTGTGTTACCTATTACGCTATGTCTCTGTTTTGAAACCTGGTATGTGTTCTATTTGTATCTTGACGTATTACCCGGGTTTGTAATTTATTTCTTCACTCATCCTATGTATGACTGTGGGTACCCACAGCCATCCCTCAAGATGTTTAGGAGTGGTAGGAGCGGTAAAATAAAGTACCAATCATTATAGCTCGATTCAGAGAGAGGAGAAAGGAGACAGGGACAGACATTTGCATTGGAACAGAGAAGATCCTGGAGAGGCAGGGCAGATAAAGCTAGAGATGGATGTCAGGACTAGTCTGAGCATGCAAGATCTGGACTAAACAGAAGCTAAGAAAGGCTTTCAATTAGTAGAGGAGAGCTAAGGAAGGCTTGAAAACGCAGAGACAGGATTAGATCTGGGACGTAGATCAATCCGGCTGCAGGAAAGCATCACTGGAGAGAAAAGGTCGAGGGGGAAGGTTGACTGCAATTGCTCGGCTGAGACAGAACGAGACCTGAAGTAGGGCAGAGACCGAGAGCGTGGTGTAGACTGTGGGGGAGGGGTGCGATTCCGGAGCAGATGCCCCTTCCGGCCTGGCACACAGTAGGTGTTCATTAACGCTGGCTTCCTCCCTCGGAGCGCGCTCCCCTCCCCCTCCGCCCCGGGAGGCACAGCTCCCCCCGATCTCAGTGGGCCAGAGCCCCAGGACCGGAGCCCCCACCCAGCCATGCCCTGTCAGTGGGGGTCCTCACCTGCACCGGCGCCTCTCGGCAGCTCCCTCTCCTCCGGGCTCCGCAGGTTCGGACCCCAGGGCTCCACGGCGCGCTCCATCGCGCGGCACGCCGCCCTGGGCAAAGGGACAGACACCAGCCCCAGCGGTCACGCAGCCATGTGCGGCCCGCGGCGCCCTGCCGCCGCCCTCTGCCGGCCGAGGCGGGCACCGGGGCCCCGGCGCGGGGCGCGGCTCCCGGGGACCCCCGCCGGCCTCCCCTGCACCTGCTGCTCCCCGTCGCACGCGCGCCCGGCCACCGCGTCCTTGCCTCCCAGCGGGATGCGGGTTACCGGAGCTCCCCGGCGCCCCGCGACACGGGCTCCGCGCCCAAGCCGGAGGGGGGCTCGGCCCCCAGGCGTCCCGGGGCGGCCGCGGGGAGCGGAAGCCAGCGCGGGGCGCGCCGAGCCGCTCTAGGACCCGGGAGGAGCCGCGCGCCCGCGGGCGCCGCCCGGTCGGCGGGGCTCGGTGGCTGGCGGGCGGCTCCGAGCCGGGGACGGCGGCCCGAACTCGGTGGTTTTAACCGTGTGCTTCCTGGGCTGCTGCGGGGCGCCGGGGGCCGAGGCTGCTTCTTCCTGATCGTCGCCGGGTCCCGGCGTCACCCGCGCCCACCTCCGGGGCGGGTGGGCAGCGCCACCAGCCACGCTGGCCCGGGAGAGACAAAGAGGGATCCGGAGCCGGACCCGGGGAAAGGGGTGGGGGAGAGACCGAGGCAGACAAAGGGCGGCGGGGACCCCAGACGGGGCGGGGCGGGGCGCCGAGTCTCGGGAAACAAAGCCCGGCTGGCCCGGAGGCCGGCGGCCCGGGAGGGGCGGGGGCTGGGCTGGGGGGGGGGGGGGGAGGACCGGGACAGGAGAGGGGCTGGGGGGGGGTCCCCAGGTAAATGCTGGGGGGTGAGGCCGGCTGATGGAATAGGGGGAGAAGCGGAGAGAGAGAGAGGCCCCTTCCTCTTCCTGAAGACCCTGGAAAGCCGAGTCAGCAACGCCCCTGACGACCCAGGAGCAGATCGGTGCCCGGGGAGGGGCGCCTCTCCCTTGGGGTGAGGTGAACAGGGCCCCAACCAGGTGCCAGATCCGCTGAGACGTGCCCACAAAGGTTGTAAGAGGGAAATCCCAAGAGCATTGCATAAGGCTACAGATTTCCGGACCCCCTTCTCATCCTCAGGCTGAGAAGTCTGTCTCCTCCCCCTCCTGCCCTTCCTCCTCCTCTTCCTCCCCTCCCCCCCCCCAGCAGGTGGACAGGAGTCCTAGATGGGGAGCTTAGATGACCTGCTATTAGCGTTCCCCAGCTGACCTCGCACTTTACTCTCACTTTTGAATAAACTTTGCCTCTGCTCTCACTTTTCCTGCCTCCTAATTTGTTATTTATTGGGAGAGAAAATAAAAGAAAAGAAAAGAACCCAAGACCACTATGTGCTGTCAGAATCACATTTGTAGCCTCCACCGAGACCCTGAAGCTGCGACTCAACAGAAGTCAGAGGCCTGAGTTAAAGAGGATGCAATGCTCAGGCAGAGACAATGCACCAAGGTTGACAGTGGAGGGGGGAAAAATGGCCTCTGGAGACAAAGAGATGGACAAACAGATAAAAGAGAGATATAAAGTTATTGAAGCAGTGTTGGAGGAAAAAGGAAAAGCAGGAGCAGGAATCCTGGAGAGAAACCAGCCAGATATAGAGGAACAAAAGACAACATTGAGTTAAACAGGCAGGAACAAAGAGACAGACACAAAGAGGCTGTCAGAAAGCTAGGGACCCGTGGACATACCTACAAATCCCAAGCCCAGGAAGAGGCATAATTGCAGGATCTTTTTTTTTGAGGGGGGGGTCAGTTGTGGGGCTTGAACTCTGGGCCTGGACACTGTCCCTGTCCTCTTCAGCTCCAGGCTAGAGCTCTACCACTTGAGCCACAGCACCACTTCCGGTTTTCTTGTGGTTTATTGGAGACAAGAGTCTCATGGACTTTTCTGCCCAGGCAGCTCTGAACTGCCATCCCCAGATCTCAGCCTCCTGAGTAGCTGCCACCCGCTGCCACCCACCCCCACCGGCACCTGGCTTGTACTCCAGGAGGCAGGTCTACTTTTGAGGAAAGGAATGCCCAGAGGGATCTTCAGCCACTCTTCCAAAAAGAGGCAAGGGGAGCTGGCTCACACCTGTAATCCAACTACTCAGAAGGCTGAGATCTGAGGATCAATGGTTGGAAGCCAGCCTGGGCTGGAAAGCCTGTGAGACACTTATCTCCAATTAGCCACCAATTAGCAGAGATGTGGCTCAAGTGGTAGAGAGCTAACCTTGAGCAAATAAATTGCTCAATAGTGCCCAGGCTTTGAGTTCAAGCCAAAGTACCAGGACAAACAAAACCAAATAAAAATATTTGGAACTTTTCCTTCCCTCATCCTCCACAAGATATTCAACTGGTGTTCAAGTCTAGTCTCTCTATCAGAAAAATTGGTCCCCTTTTCTTCACCCACTGTACTCTACTGTCCTGCCTTAGTTTTACGTCTGGTCAGCTCATTCCTCTTACTCAATAACATTCAAGAAGGTAATATATGCATTTCTTTATTTTTTATTTATTTATTTATATTTTTTTGGTTGATTGTGGGGCTTGAACTCTGGGCCTCGGTGTTGTCCCTCAGCTCTTCACCTCAAGGAGAGAGCTCTACTGCTTGAGCCACAGCGCCACTTCTGGTTTTCTAGTGGTTTATTGGAGATAAGAATCTCACGGACTTTCCTGCCTGGGCTGGCTTTGAACCATGATCTTCTGATCTCAGCCTCCTGAGTAGCTCGAATTACAGGTGTGAGCCACCAGCGCCTGGCATATGCATTTCTTTATTAGTTATATTACCAATATGTGCTGTCAAAGAAAAATTAGAAAATGAAAATAAATTAGAAAATTTTATTTTGTTAATTTGGTGTTTTAGGACAAGGTCACACCCTGTAGCCCATGCTGATGACAAACACTATCTTCTTAGCCTTCTGAATGCTGGGATTATAGGCATACACATCATAACCAGCAGGAAAATTTAAATCTAATATTGTTACACTGATATAATCTCATGTTAGTATTTATCCTTCCAGATGTGCATCTGTGCCTGAACATAGGTAAGCATATAGATTTCTTTCTTTTTGGTCAGTTGTGGAGCTTGAACTCTGGGCCTGGGCACTGTCCCTCAGCTCTTCAGCTCAAGGCTAGCACTCTTCCACTTGAACCACAGTGTCACTTCCGCTTTTCAGGTGGTTAATTGGATATAGTCTCATTGACTTTCTTGCCTGGGCTGGCTTTGAACCATGATCCTCAGATCACAGCCTCCTGAGTTAGCTAAGATTACAGATGTGAGCCACCAGCGCTGGGCTGCATATAGATTTCTACAAATAGTCACAATCCGGTGCCAGTGGCTCATGCTTGTAGCTGTAGCTACTCAGGAGGCTGAGATCTGAGAATCTGGGTTCAAAGTTTGGGTAGAAAAATCTACGAGAGGGGCTGGGAAGGTGACTCAGTGGTAGAGTGCTTGCTTTGCATGCATGAGGACCTGGGTTCGATTCCTCAGCACCACATAAGCAAAAAGAAAAAAAAAAACGGAAGTAGTGCTGTGGCTCAAGTGGTAGAGTGCTAACCTTGAGCTGAAGAGCTCAAGGGACAGCGCCCAGGCCCAGAGTTCAGGCCCCATGACCAGACTGAAAAAATAAAAAAGAGAGAAAGAAAGAAAAGTCTACAAGACTCCTATCTCCAGTTAAACATTAAAAAAAAAAAAAAAAAGAAGGCCCTTGTGCTAGCTCATGTCTATAATCCTAGCTACTTAGGAGGCTGAGATTTGAGGACCACAGTTAGAAGCCAGCCCAGGCAGGAAAGTCCAGGAGACACTTATCTCTAATTAACCACCTAAAAATGGGAAGTAGATCTGTGGATCTAAGAATTTAAGGATTGGAGTGTGGCTTAAGTAGCAGAGAATTTGTCTAGTGAGTTCAAGGCCCAGAATTGCTATCCCTTGTAAGCCGGGCGCTGGTGGCTCACGCCTGTAATCCTAGCTACTCAGGAGGCTGAGATCTGAGGATCGAGGTTCAAAGCCAGCCCAGGCAAGAAAGACCGTGAGACTCCTATCTCCAATAAACCACCAGAAAACCGGAAGTGGCACTGTAGCTCAAGTGGTAGAGCGCTCGCCTTGAGCTGAAGAGCTGAGGGACAGCGCCCAGGACCAGAGTTCAAGCCCCACGACCGACAAAAAAAAAAAAAAAAGAATTGCAATCCCTTGTACCATCACAACACAAATACTACTAAGTGTTCCAGGGTGGCACTCTACTACTTGAGCCACAGCTCCATTTCTGACTTTTTGCTGGTTAATTGAAGATAAGTCTCAAGGACCTCTGTGCCAGGGCTGGTTTCAAGTGTTGATCCTCCGATCTCAGCCTCCTGAGTAGCTAGGATTATAGGCATGGTTCATGGTTAGCCAGTTATGATTTTCTTTTCTTCCTTCCTGCTTTTTCTTTTGTGATGTTGGGGCAGAGCCCAGTGCCTCATGAATACTAAGTGATTCCCTGACTCCCCCGCCCCCAGAGTCTTAACTAAGACCATAGGGCTGCTCAGCCTGATGAGAAACTTGGGAGGAAGGGCTGGAATAGGAAAGGATATAATTATCCTTCCCTTTGCTTCTATCTAAGCATTACTGTCATCCTTCCTCCTCCCCCTCCCCCCACTTAAAAGTGAATGCTGTGAGTTATACTTACTTGTGGCTGTCTCTCTGGACTGACTTAATTCACACTGTCTGAATCTTTAACAACTGATCCAGAGAACAGTGACTGGATTTGAACTGTCAGCCCCACCACACTACTCAGCTCATAAGTAATAACTAGAGTTTACCCTAAGTGAACTCATCTCATAGACAAAGCCTGTTCTAACAGCTCTATGTGATGTAGCTCATATGCTATAATCTTCATCAGGTGGTGTGTGTGTGTGTGTGTGTGTGTGTGTGTGTGTGTGTGTGTGTGTGTGTGTGTGTGTGTGTGTGATATGTGTACACGTGTCCAGTACTGAGGCTTGAACTCACAGCCTTACACTTTTGCTTGGCTCTTCTGCTCAAGGCTGGTATGCTACCACTTGAGCCCCAACTTTGCTTCTGGCTTTTTGCTGATTAATTAGAGATACG